CGCTGTGTGAATTCATCGTTGTATGAAGCAATCGTTGTGTGAGGCACCACTGTATTTATTTATTTATTTATTTATTTAGATTGGAAACAAAACCAGAAGATGCTTCTATTGAGTTTGTAAAACCAAGACATTTAGTTTTCAGGCTCATTTTTTACAAAACAGTTTCACTATTTTTATCTTCTTTTTTTAAAAAAAGAATTAAAAACAAAGATTGTGCTCTTTACTTCTTTCTTGGGTGGGCAGATGATGCCAAATCTTTTTTATTACATTCATTGGCTCTAGAAGGTCTAGTGAGTGCTCAATATTGGACAGTTTATGTCTTGATTTTAGATTCCAGGGTGAGACATTATATATTAAAGATTGTTACTCCACAGTACTATGATTTAAGTTCTTAGAAAATATATTCTAAGGGATTATTTTCTTTTTCTGCTTCCATTGTAGATACTGAAGTACGATCTTTCCCAGTCTTAATTAGCGACCAGAGTGAGATTGTTGACACCAATGGAGCTGGAGATGCATTTGTGGGAGGTACGTACTGTTTGCCTTATTACTTTAAAGTAATAAAGAATAACACTTTAAAGTGTTCTTTATTACCCCAGCCCCCTACTTCATTAGAAAACAGGTGTTGTTTTCTAATATAGAGTGTCAATTTCTTCTTTTCAGTATTCTATGTTTTATATTTTAAAGGATTGTTAATTTTCTCAGGAAAAAATGTGTTTTGTGTTTTGAAAGATAATGCACTATTATGCAACAGCCACATTGTTTTCACACAATTAATTGTTTCTGCCAGAATGTTGCATAAACAAGCTCCATCAAATATGTTATGTAGTGTACTCAGAGTCCCTGCTGGCCTAATCATGTTAGCATGTTGCTCTTCTTTTAAAGAGATTGTACTGAATTTTAAAGAGTATGCAAATAACTGAGGGTAATGTTTAAGTTATAATTTATCTTCCGTGTTCATCTGTTTCCTGAACTGTTGATGTGCATATGCAAAAAGACTGTGAAGAATTAATGTTTTAAACATCACAAGGAGAATCACACCTGCTAATACTTTTATATCATTTGCAACCATGCTAATTTTTTTTAATGTCAGAGCAGGAGAGTTTTTTTTATATAAACCAAAACCCAATATTGTTGAAAATGCATCTTACACTAATCCTTGTGTATGTCAACAACATGCTCTTTCATTTTGAAGGTTGTACTGTTGGTGAAAGCTCCTGGGATTTTTCACTTTTTAGGACCCTAGCTCTCCTCAAATGCAGTTCTGAGGTTTGACCTGAAGTTTTTGGTGCTGCCGCTTTTAAAAGGAAAAATATCTTAGAAGAAGGCAGTGTGGTATTCTTGATATGAGTGAAGAGGTTGGTTTCCATGCTTTTCTCCCATATGCTAAAAGTTTTCAAACAAGACATAAAGAATTTATTTCAGTACTTGAGTTAATACATCTATACTTTCCTTTCAGGAAAGTATTGAACCATGAGTTTTAATTGCTTTATAGGGTAGGCAGTAAGAGGTTAAGCTAGACAGAGCATCTAGAACAAGAATAGGTAAGGTAAAGGTTCCCCTTAATATTTAGTCCAGTCATGTCTGACTCTAGGGGGCCGTGATCATCCTCGTCTCCAAGCCGTAGAGCCAGCATTCCATGGTCATGTGGCCAGCGCGACTAGACACGGAACGCCATTACCTTCCCACTGTGGTGGTACCTATCTACTCACATTTACATGCTTTTGAACTGCTAGGTTGGCAGGAGCTGGGACAAGCGATGGGAGCTCACTCCGTGGCGTGGATTCAATCTTACAACTGCTTGGTCTTCTGACCTTGCAGCATAGAGGCTTCTGCGGTTTAACCTGCAGCGCCACCACATCCCTAGAACAAGAATACCCTGCCCTTAATGGTTTCAGTTGGAGGCGGTAGAGGGCATCTACTCTTGCTGTTTTTTCCACCAATTCTATATGATGGAAAGCTGCAATCTTCAGGATTTCTGTCTGTGTGTGTTTCTGTGTGTCTTTGTGCTCAGCAGACTTGTTTGGTATACATTCTCCCTTCTCCTTTAACACAAAATATGCATTTCCAAAAGGGATTTGGTTTGAAGAGTTTTGAATAAGCAAATCTTCCATTGAGACAGGAGGACTTGCTTAGAGAAGGGGCACTCTAAGAACCAAAGATTAGCTGTTGCAACACAGTGCTTCCAAGTCACATCCCAAGCAGGATGTGAATTCGAGGCACGGTACTGCAGTGGCTCCAGTCAGTGGGCTGTTAGGGCTGGTGTTATTGAACACCACAAAGAAATGGATTATTGAAGACTGGCTAGTAATATTGTGGTGTCCAGAAAGGGCTTTTTTCAGTAAAGGTCTGACAACTGCCTCTTTGAGGCAGGGTAGAATTTTACCCTGCCCAAAGAGGCATACATCTCTCCCCTTGACTACTCAGCCAGCTTCTTCTCTAGCCACTTTATAATCTATTAAGGAAAAGGTTCCAAACTACACATAGTTGCTCTTACCACTCCAAGGATCCTATCCACATTCCACAGAACAAAATTAACACTGGTCAAGCAATAGATAAGCTTTCATCCACAGGACCCCAACATCCAAGACAGAGTGGCTCTGAGCTATTTTATGTGCAATGTCATGTAAATTGCTCAGAGGACTGTCAAATGGTCAACATTCTCCTCTTACGGGTGAGATCATAGTAGACCTCTGACCACTCAAAACAGCTCTGCAGGACAACTTTGTGTAGAAGAAAGTGTTCCTCACTGCTATGGAATAGGCATTCCATTGGTCTCTAGTCCGTGTTTTCTGACTCATTCCACATTTTCTGCCCTCAGATTATGGCACTTAGATGATCACATCGTTCTATATATGGGTTTATGATGCAGAGTGCTTTGGATTTCTGTTCTAGATATCTGCATGATTCAGGCAGTGAGTGAAATGAATAATATGTTAGTCATGACCTTTTCCCTTCTAAACAAAGATCACTCTGGAAGAGAGTAACTTAACATGGGTGCCTGATCTAATTCTGAACACCTTGTTCCTGCAGCTATATACAGTGTTGACATGATTATTCCATGTTAATGTCATCAGCCTTCATATTGAAAACCTTTTTCCTGTTATAGTAGCAGAATTTTCTGCTGAAGTATGTCTTTACTTGAAAGAGACTGCAGCCCTCTTTTGTTTAGCAACCTACGTCATCTTGAACCCAGCAAGGTAGATGCTGCATCTTGAGCCAAGCTTTTAAAAGACAAATTGTTATCAACAACTTGCCTTCTATATACTAGATTCTATAAAATTATATGGTGTCAGTGATTTTTTTCTGTCACTTTTGGAAGGTCTAGTCACTTTGGTAAGCATTTAGGCTGTACAGTAGGATGTATATTTTCCATGTTTAAATCTGCCTTCCTTTTAAACTTTTCAGATTCATTTAAAAGTAGGAAAAACTGTGACCAGCAACAAAATGTTTGGTGTACCCCCATACCTCAGGAGGCATGTTCACAATCTTGTGTCAGATAGCATAACAATGCTGCCCAGACCTCTCAACATGTGAGGTGCTTGGTGTACAGGACAACTATAAACAGCAAAATAGGTCTTCCTGTGTAGTATGAATAGAGAACATTGTTGCTGCACAGTGGAAGAGGGGAGTCTGCAGAATAGAAACAGGAAAAAGTGTCTTTTTATTTTATTTTATTTTTCCTTCTCTCCTGAGACAACCCATTTACACACTCCTCTTTGTGATAACTTAGTAGAAGTGGCTAGGGAATAAGAAAAACATTGGTCTATCCCTCTTTCCACCCTCCATTTCCCTTTTTTAAAAGAAAATAAATCTTCAGCTGATACCTTAACATGAAATTAAATCAATGACTTACAAGTGTGCCCTCAGTCCTTCATGATTTATTCAATCTAATAGGCAGGGTATATCCAGCAGGTTCTCAGCAGGTAGTAACTTCTTCCTTGAGAAAGTGGGAGTAATTCAAGAAAGGAGCTAATAATTAGGCCGCTTCTGGAGAACCCTAAGACTGGATATTGAAGATGGCAATAGCTATTGGTTAATTACCAATATTCCTTTCCTGAGCAATGTGTCCAAGTGGTTGCTAGAGAATTCCAGACATTCTTAATGCAGCTGATGATGAGCTTTAGGTCTGGTTTTGGAACAGAAATGCCCTTGTTTAATCTATTACATGATGACTGCAAATACAGTGGTGCCTCGCTTAACGGGCGCTCCATTTAGCAATGAAACCGCATAGCGACGAAGATTTTGTGATCACAAAAGTGATCGCATTGCGATGTTTTAAATGGGGTTTTTTCGGTTTGTGATGATCGGGTCCCTATTTCACTTACCGATCATTGCAAAGCGACTATTTTAAAACAGCTGATCGGCTGTTCCAAAATGGCCACCGGGTAAAAAAAATTGCCGCCCGCTGTGTTTAGGGATGGATTCCTCGCTTAAGAGGCAGCGAAAATGGCCGCTGTATGAAGGTCAGTTTTTTGCCGATAGGAACGCATTAAACAGGTTTTTATGCGTTTCTATGGGCTTTTTTAAATCACATAGTGACGAAATCGCTTAGCAGCGATTTCTGCTGCATGGATTAACATCGCTATGCGAGGCACCACTATATACAAATTGGGGAATAGAACCCTGCTGATTTTCTTGAACCTGCAGTTTTCTATTCCATCAGTCTGAATAAACCGTCTGATTTTGGATTAGAGTTTTGCATTGCAATGTTTCTTTTACTCAAATGGTCAATTCCAGAACCATTCTTGGGGGATAATTCATCTGTCTTGTGGTGCTATGTTGCAAGAATTTTGAGGACTGTGTTTTATCCCCCAAACTTTCCAGCATCTTCACATAAGTGGGCAGTACACAACCAGACTGTATGCACATGTACACCCACACCATTTTTTTTACCAGCACTGAATTTCCTGCCACACCATTAAATTTGAAAAACACAGCCACATGAAAATAATATTTTAAAGCAAGCTCTTCTGATTTTTTTAAAACACACTTAGGAAAAAAAACTTGTTTAGAGGTAAACTTCTCTCTAGAAACCTCCAGAAAACATCAGTTTCAAAATAAGACACAGGCTTCCTGTGTGTCTTGTTTTAAGGTGGAAATGCTGATATTGAAGCATTTTTCTCAATGCCACACCACCAGATTTCAATAGCAAAAGGTGTTGCAACCAGCAGGTTGGGTCATGAAACTGTGTCCCCAAATCTCCATAGACTGCCACCCTCCTTTGTATAAAACTACTGGGAATTATCAGGATGCTGATAATACCCAGCACTGACACCTTTCCATCAAATCCAGATGAGGTAGTAAGATGCTCTCTGAGCAAGCTGATGGGCCAAAAAAGAGTGAACCAAGTGAGATTCAGTCCAAGCAAGACAGAGGTACTGGAGGATCAGCAAGTAGTTTCTCCAACTGAATAGTGTTCATCTTGTTCTGGAGAGGTTTGCACTTTGCCTAAGGATCAGGTTTAAGTTTGTGGGTGCTTTTGGATCTACCATTGCCAGGAGCAACACCTCAGGGGCTCATGGTACAAACCACCTTTCATCAGGCTAGCCTGGTAGATGAGGTCTAACCACTTTTGGATAAAGATAGTCTGCTTACAGTTATCTATGTTCCCATCTGGATCATTGTAATGCACTGTGCACAAGCTCTTTGGAGATAGTTTGGAAGCTTGAACTGGTCCAAAATAGAACAGCAAAGTTGCTTAATGTCTGTTCTTCATGAATTTATTAACACAAGTGTTTTGTAATCTGCACTGGCTTCCAGGCCATTTCTGGGCTTAATTCAAATTACTGCTATTAACCTTCAAAACTCTAAAAGGCCTGGAAGCAGGCTATCTGAAGGATTGTTTGTTTGTTCTATATGTAATCTGCTTGGACCCTGCGATCATCTTCAGAGGCTGTCCTCTGAGTGCCTTTGCTAAATGTGTTATGTGACTTGGGCAAGGGCTTTCCCACTAGTCATGCCAAGTCACGTCAAGAACCTTTATTGACATCTGAAAGGAAACATATAACACAACAGGCAACAGTCCTTGCCCAGATAAGAAGTGTATGCCCACTTAGAAAGGAAACAAAGAGGACGAGTGGTATAAATACTGATGAAACATAGCAAAATGAACATAATTCCTGTTCCAGAAGGCTTTTAATTGTAATAATATTAGCTGTGGGTCCGATGGCAATTTTAATTGTATTTTAAATATTTTATCTTTTACTGTATTGAATTTTAATTGTTGTAAGCCGCCCAGAGACCTCTGGGTAGTGTGGGCGGCATATTAAACAAACAAACAAACAAACAAACAAACAAACAAACAAATAAATAAATAAATCATTTGAAAGAACAGCTAGACTCAGCAGCGAGGCTTTGGCAAACCTAGGAGGTTGTTCATTACATTCCATGAGGGCAGAACAAGAAGTTTGTTGGAAATTGTGAACTGTGTTGCTGTATTAATAGATAGATATGTTTGGCAATCTGCCTGGTATACATTTTGTTCTCTCCTAATAAGAGAGTGTACAGAATTACCTCCTCTGATCGACCAAGTAAACTAGCAAGTATTCGCTCCAAATTGGATGCACAGATACCATTGCATACTGTACAGTAAAGAAGCATAGGTGCCATGGACTCAAGGGCCCCAGAATTACATGGGCAGAGCCGTGTTTCCATTGGTTGGGAGTTAAATGTACCATATAGAGTATTAGATGGAAGTAGATTGCATCTTGCGAGAGTGAAGCACGCCGTTCGTGTGGGCTGTCTATAATGTGCAGATAACTGGCCAAATTGTCAATGTGTAGAGAGAGGGAGTTGCAAGTTTAAAGGTGAACAAACTTTACGGGCTGCCCCAAAAAGGTCTTGTCTTTCAGTGTCCAAAAGCCTAACTTTTAGCAATCTATACAACTGCATAAACAATAGAGCACCCAAATGGTCTAGTGAAATGCCCAGAGTTTGAACCTTTTGAATGAACAGTATTAGGCAGGGAGAATGGAAGGAGTCAGACAGGATGCCCCTAATTAAGGAGTCTTTGTCTAGCAGGAAACAAGTTCTTAGGCAGTACTTAAATTGTCTCAACCACGCTTGCGTGTTCAGTCTAGTTAATCCAGCCTCCAAGCACAAAGCTGCATATGTCACACAGTGGGGAACAGCAAAGATTTTGTAGAGGAAAGAGTTCTAGAGTTGAAGGCATTGAACCAGATTGGGATCCCATACAAGAGTTAGGAGACAGCCTTAGCTTTGAAGACCCTCAGGACATCAGGGATGTTTGCGTTGCCCCATGCATTAAAAAAGCAAAGTATTGCTTGCATTGACAGCCTTACCATTTTAGCAGTAATGTAGCGATGTTTGGCCCATGAGTTGCGATAGTGGAGGTTTAGCCCTAAATACTTGAATTATTTCATCTGTTCGATAGCTTTCCCATAAAATAGCCAAGGTTGAGTTTCCAAGCCTTATTGAATGCAACTATTTTGGATTTGCCGTAATTAAGGGCTATTTTGTTACAGGAAAAACAATTGATAGATTTTGCAATTACAGTGGGGTCTTGACTTGAGAACTTAATCCGTATTGGAAGGCGGTTCTCAAGTCAATAAGTTTGTAGGTCAAATCTGCATTTCCCATAGGAATGCATTGGAAACCATTTGATCCGTATCTGCTCTTTTCTGTCCATAGAAACTAATGGGAAGCTGCTATTCCGCCTTCGACCACTAGAGGGGGATATTTTGTTTCTTTTTTTCTTAGGTCAAGAAAGGTTCAGGGAAGGCAGGGAAAATACAGTCCAGGCAGTACAGTACCAGGCAGTCTGAAGACTGTCTCCCAATCCACTCTCTAAACGCTGGGAGGAGTGAGGGAGCAGACAGGCACCCTTTTCACTGGCCAACAGTTAACTGAAAGTTCAAATTTTGCACTCCCCCTGCCTCCCACGTGGTTTTTTTCAGTTTTTTCCAGTTCGTAACTCAAATCAAGTTTCCTATTTTCCGTAAGTCAAGTTAGTCTTTTCCTATGAGAGCGGTTCGTAAGTCAAAATGTTTGTAACTCGGGCCATTCGTAAGTCAAGACCCCACTGTAACCGTCGTAGACCTATCTTAGTACATGACAGGAGTACCATATCGTCTGCATATAAAACAATAGGGATTGCCAGGTGTCCCAATCTAGGACAATGGCTATTCACTTCTGAGAGGAGAAGAGCAAGATAATTGATATACAGGTTAAATAGAATAGGGGCAAGGACGCAGCCCTGCTTGACTTCTCTGTTGATGGAGATCTCTTCAGAAACATTGCTGTGGCAGGATAGTTCTAAGCCAGCGTCCGGATCCGTATATAGTCTCTGGATTAATAAAAGCAATCTCCTGTCTAAGCCAGCGTCCGGTAGCTTTATCCAAAGGAGTTCTTGGTCCACCAAGTGAAATGTGGTTTTGAGATCTAGGAAGGCAGCATACAGGTAGGTCTTGGTGTGTGCCACCTGCTTGGCTGTAATATGGGATAGTGCCAAGCAGTGGTCCATGGTGGACTTGTCTGCCTGAAAGCCTGCTTGCTCAGGGCCTGGTATGTTGTCATTTATCCAGGCGGTGAGCTAATTTAGTAAGTGATTAGCATACACCTTGCCCACTACCAACAGCAGACTAATTGTTCTGTAATTGTCCGGTAGTTTCCTGTTGCCCTTTTTGTATATAGGTAAAATTATAGACTGGATCCAGGTCTTGGGTATCATCCCAGACCTATCCACAATTGAGAAGAGCTCAGCCAAAATTGGTGCCCACCAACTTATGTTTGCTTTGAATAGATCTGGAGGCAACAGGTCGGGGCCAGGAGCCTTCCCATATTTCAATCTATTTAATAACTGCTTGTTCTTCTTCATGGTCTCTGTGAATGCACACTAATGGGTTAATCTCCACCTGCGCAGGGATCTCCAGAATATTCTAGAGCTCAAACACTTTTAGCAGGACCGCCCCCTAACACACGTGGTCCACCCATCCTGATGATTGCCTCAGTTCCTTTTTCGGGGCCAGGAGCCTTCCCATATTTCAATCTATTTAATAACTGCTTGTTCTTCTTCATGGTCTCTGTGAATGCACACTAATGGGTTAATCTCCACCTGCGCAGGGATCTCCAGAATATTCTAGAGCTCAAACACTTTTAGCAGGACCGCCCCCTAACACACGTGGTCCACCCATCCTGATGATTGCCTCAGTTCCTTTTTGCCGCCACTGAGGTTTCATCTCTTGACAAGCTCTCCATTCGCGCTTCTTGGTTCTTTTCTCTACAGAAATAAATGACAAAACAAATTGATTCTATAGAATAATAGACTTTAAATACATCATATTTGTAAGAGACTTGATCCCATTTTTATTTGTAGAGACTTGATCCCATTTTTCCCTTCTGCCTCTCCACCTCTTTCTGCCTTTCCCGCCCATTATGCCCCCGTAGGACCGTTTAAGAGGTGCATTTCTTGCCCTAACAAACTGCCTCTCACGGACAGCCATGATTCTCGTTTGTCTTGCCTGGGGGAATCTCACCAACCGATTACTTGCTGCTTCTGTAAAAAAATTCACTAAACAAGCCATCAAACTTTGTCAGCAGCAACTTAGGTATTTTTTGTCGGGGCGATCCCTACATCCACCAGCTACTATGGGCGAGATACAAGCCTCACAACCACTCCTGGCACCTTCTACCGTTAACTCTCCGTTACTGACAACCACCAAAACTAAATTGAAATTAATGAAATTGAAGTCCTCGGGATTGACATCCCAATCCACCCTGACACTAAAAGCTGTTACGAAACCAGTTGCTTCCAAACCAAAAAAATCAAAGAAATCTTCCATTGAGTCTCAGCCTCCAGTTCCACAGCCTGCAACACAAGATCAACCCACCATACAACTAGATTCTGCCCTTGACTCCATTCCACCTCCGTCTGGCCAACCACCCTCTCCTCTACTGGCCCAATTGCCCTCATGGGCAGATACCTCAGCTGAGGTAACCATTTTACTGCATTTGGCCTGTTCGAGCCCCAAATCTTTGGGTTGCTCAGTGTCTGTATGTGAGTATAACTCAGTATCAGTGTCTATCCTTCCTGGCCTGTTGCCCTTGTGTAAAAGTAAGGCGAAGCTACACCATGTACATGACACCGGCCATTCCGATACCAGTCACATACTCATTCAGGACTGTCAGTATCGTAGGGCTCTCAGGCTCGACACCATCAGTCTAAAACAGTTACTGTCTACAAGCCTCCGGTCTATTATGAGCCTCCACTCAAATGGTATCAGAATCACTCATACCACTATTGGGAGCCCAATACTGGGCATTACATCAAGCCCAAGCATCTTTGATACGCATACTATTACCCGTTTGACCCTTCGGATTCTTTATCATCTCCTATATACCATCCGAGGCAATCTTAACCGTCTGTCATCAGACGATGATATCATCCATCCTCCACCTTCCCCAGTACCGAAAATACATAAGGCTCATAAACAACACCATGGTCAGGTACCTTGATTCATCCAGCCTCGGTGCAAATGTCTTTGGTACCAAACAAACCACGACCATCAACTAAGGTGTCCGTACCACCTGCTGAATCAGCCACGCTCTCCTATACTCGATCATCCTCTCTACAAGTTACTACGACTTATACTGGGCCTTCATCAGGACCCACAAATAACACCAAGCCTCACAGGTGTCCCAAATCAAACCAATCTACTCAATTGGTACCATTAAAGCATAGTACTGTAGCATCGAAACACCACTCATCAGAGGCTCTTCCAGATACATCAGCCTCTTCATTTCAACAGGGATCCTCATCATCACCTATACAATTTTCCGATACTGAATCTTCAGATTCAATGGCATTGCAAGAATCACCTCCCAATCTCCCAACACCTGATTTAGACATGGCCGATACCAACCCTCCATCTCCATTGGAGGATTTCTCTTTGTACTCTCAATTAGTTCTGCGCATCATGAAGGCCATGGATCTGGACGTGCAACAACCCATCCAATCAGAATCAGACAAGGTGTATGAGGATATCAACAAGAATCAAACTCTTCCACTCTGGATGGGGTTCATTCCATCCCTTCTTAAAATGATTAAGCAATCATAGGCCAAACCATCCTTGATACCTCAAATCTCTCGAAGAGTTGAGAACTTATATAAGACCCATGGCCAAAATACTGAATTTCTCTCCAAACATCCACCTCCCAATTTGGTAATTGTGGATGCAACACAAAATAGATCACACATTCATTCTAACACTACTCCCAATAACAAGGAAGGCAGAAAACCTGACAGTTTTGGACACGGAGTTTACTCTCTGGTGTCATTCACTCTCCATGCTGCCAATTATCTAGCAGCGATGAGGGCCTATCATAGATTCCTTTGGAACAAGGCCCTTCCAACTTTACAATCAGCCCCTGGAGAATACAAGCCTTGCGGCCTCACTTTTCATCAAGAGGCTATGGCGTTAGCAATCCAAGAATGCATAACAGTGTGTCAGATAATCAAGGCAGCTTCTAGACATATGGCCACTGCTGTAGCCCTACGGAGACATGCTTGGCTCTGCTCAGCACACATCTCCGTTTACTCTTGTATGCATACCAAGGACTTACCTTTTGATGGCATCAGTCTATTCGATGAGAAGACAGACGAAATACTAGATACAGTGGGGTCTCTACTTAAGAACTTAATCCGTATTGGAAGGTGGTTCTCAAGTTGAAAAGTTCTTATGTTGAATCTGCATTTCCCGTAGGAATGCATTGAAAACCATTTAATCCGTATCTGCTCTTTTCCATCCATAGAAACTACAGTGGAACCTCTACTTAAGAACTTAATCCATTTTGGAGTTTTTGTTCTTAGGTTGAAACGTTCTTAAATTGAAGCAAAATTTCCCATAGAAATGGACTGAAAACCAATTAATCCGTTCTGGCTGTTTGTTTGTTTGTTTTTTTTGTTTTGTTTTGTTTTTGTTTTTTTTGTTATGTAGAGGTGTGTTCATACAGTGAAGCATTAGTTCCCATAGGAACTAATGCAAAGCTGGTTAATACGTACTCTACCACTAGGGGGAGAATTTTTTTTTTAACCTAAGATGACCTAAGGTTAAAAAAAGAGCAGGAAAGGTTTTTTTTCCTGTTCTTATCTTGGATTTCTGTTCTCAAGTAGAAGCAAAATTTAGCAAATGGAGCTGTTCTTAAGTTGGATTGTTCTTAAGTAGAGACGTTCTTTCTTCCTCATACCAAAATCGACAATAAAAGATTAAAAGAAGGTGCATTCGTACAACACTCGGCCATACTACAGGCCCCAAGAGTATCAGTGGTGCCACTCATGTCCTTTCCACCAATACAAATCCTTTTCAGAAAAACAAAGATACCTACCTCAGTCATCTTCCTCATACCAAAATCGACAGCACACACATAGCGACAGCGTCCTCAACAGTCCTTCTGATGACCTGATAAGAAAATCAAGCAGAATCTTTGACTCCCCTATCACCCAGATCTGCTGTCTTCATATCCCACTGTCCACCACCACCTGCCTAGCACCCCATTTTCCATCTTGGGCATCCACCACCACCAGTTCATGGGTCCTGTCTATAATATCCATTAGTTACATGATAAGAGTTTCTATTCCTCCCACCACCCAAGGTAGTCCTAATCACATCATCAAATGTCCTGGAACAAGAGATTCAGTCACTGCTCTCGAAGGGTGCTATTTCAGTAATCATCCCATAGAATGATGACCTGGGCTTCTTCTCCCGTTATTTCCTTGTCCCCAAAAGAGATGGAGGTTTCTGGCCCATCCTCAACCTTCAGGACCTGAACTACTTTATCCTCCAGAGGCGTTTTTGCATGGTGACTTTAGAAGATATTCTTCCTCTTCAAGGAGGAGACTGGTTCGCTGTCATCAACTTGAGTGACGCTTACTTCCACATCTTAATCAGACAGGACCATTGCAAATTCCTATGATTCTCCCTTGACCACGTCACGTACAAATTCAAAGACCTCCCATTCAGACTCTTCACCACACCACAGGTATTTACAAAGTGCATGGCTTCTGTGGCAGCCCATTTCCGCACTCTAGGAATCTTGGTGTTCCCTTACATCAACTGTTAGTTGCTCTGTCATGCCTTCAAACTCAGTGCGACATTGCTCTCACTCTTTCTCTCTTAGCAGATCTGGTCCTCATGGTCAATATGAACAAATCCATTCTAACTCCCTCACAGAGAGTCACCTATATAGGCGCCATCCTAGATTCTCGAGCAGCATGGGTGTTCCTCCCTCAAGAAAGAGCACTGAAGATATACTCTCTCATCCAATATTTTCAGCCTTACGCATTTGTAACTGCTCTTCAGGCTCAACGCCTTCTAGGCCTCATCACCTCCACCACATCAGTCATACAGCACGCCCAATTAAAGATGCGCTCCTTACAAGCGTGGTATTTTTCCCTTTTCGCCCCCTCTCCAAGCCGCCTAACAAAATCCTACAGGTTACTCCCGAACTCGCAGCTCAATTGATATGGTGGATTACTTCGGCCAACCTTTTTCTCGACAGACCCTTTGCACCCCTCCAACTGACAACTCAAATTGCCACTGATGCCAGTTCTATTGGCTGGAGTTCACATTGCACAGGCCTACACATTCATGCCACTTGGTCTCCTTACAAGAAGACCCTTCATATCAACAATCTGGAATTGCTTGCGATCTTCAAAGCGTTCCACACCTTTGAGCCTCTCATTACTGGCAATGCCGTACAGGTGACTACAGATAATACCACAGCGCTTTACTATATCAACAAGCTGGGTGGAACACACTACAGCTCCTGTACCTTGCCGTTCAGTTTTGGGAATGGTGCCTAGCCTGCCATGTTTTTCCTATAGCGATCCACATTCCCTCCGAACACAACCAACTTACGGATACTCTCAGCAGACTTCACTTGCAGATGCACGAATGGTCTCTCGACGATTCCATATTCCTCCAGCTCTGTGACATATGTGGTCTTCCCGAAATAGATGTTTTCACCATTGCACACAACACCAAATGTGCCCGATAGTTCTCCAGGGCAGGCATAGGATCAAACTCTCTTGGCGATGCTCTCATGGCAAGGTAGACCTCGCACCTCCTTTACCTTTTCCCTCCAATTCCTTTTCTCTTATGAACCATTGTCGAGCTATGGCAGGATTGCGTGAATGCCATCCTCATAGCTCCATGGTGGACAAGACAGCCATGGTTCACCATGCTTCAGTCGATGGCTTCCAACACTGTTTGTCTCCTGCTCGTACCCTGCCTTCTCACTCCATACCAGGGACAGACTTACCATCCCGACCTCCAATCACTCCACCTTGTAGCCTGGAGGATCTACCCTTCCTAAACACTATTCTGGCTCATGCGAGGAAACCTTATACTCATCAGCTTTATAAGTATAAATGGTCTGCATTTGTTAAATTTACACATCAGAAGAACTTTCCTACGAACCCAACTAGTCTTTCTGCATTACTGGCTTTCCTTTCTCATCTTTCTGACTGTCATCTTTCATTATCTACACTTAAGGTTTACCTATCAGCAATTGTAGCACACCAACCCAGGGACTCTGATGATGCCTCGTTATGCAAACATCAGACCTTGCTACAAGTTGTGGCTAACTTGCGACCGACCAGGCATGTTCCACCACCTCAATGGTCTTTGCATACTGTTCTCCAACACCTTACACTAACACCCTTTGAAACTTTCGCAACCTCATCTGAATGGCTTCTCTCATTTAAAGTTTTATTCTTGGTAGCTATCACATCAGCATGTAGAGCATCCAAACTCGCAGCTCTTCGAGTGGATCCCCCATTCTTGCAATTTCACCCGGACAAAGTCATGCTCTTCCCCAATATTTCCTTCCTGCCTAAAGTTGTTCCTGATTTCCATGTCCGTCAGCCGCTCGTCTTACCTACCTTCTTCCCACAGCCATCGACAGATCTTGAGCGATCCCTCCATCTCTTAGATGTCAGGAGAGTCCTAGCATTCTATGAAAAGAATGGTGTCTTTCCGCAAGACTAAGAGACTATTTGTTTCCACTCATTTGCCACATAGGGGAACCCAGATCTCCCCCCAAACTGTCTTGCGTTGGATTGTCTACATCATATGACTTGCTTATCAGCTTACAAAAAACTGCTACCTTCTGACATTAAGGCACATTCCCTTGAAGTTGTTCTTATCAAACGGGAGAAAGTTCTTGCAGTCATCGAAGTAGAGTGACAAAAAATGCTGTTCCCATATAAATGACGGAATTGAGGGGAGTGGATGAGTTTTCTTCTGAAAAGCCCCTGAGACTACTTCCCAAAAACGTTTGGAGTTCCCACATTTAATAGCTTCAGATAGCATATCCCAGTGGGCTGCTGTACAATGTTGAAAACTTTAGTGGCCACTGTAAGTTGACTCCTAACATTAAAGTAGCTGATGAGCAGGTTAGAATAGTTAAATTTCCAAAAGGCACTATAGATTTGATGTTGCTCTTGTTTCAACTTGAGGCAGGCCCTGTTAGGCCCTTTGCATGATGTGCAGTTGGATGGGTAAGAGGCCATCCAAGACAGACTAAAAGGCTTTCAACAAAGATCTCGTATTTATTTATGTATGCCTGCAGGGTGCAGACATCAGCATCTATGGATGGGGGTCATTAATTGGTTGCTCTGCAAATTATCCTTAAAAAAGAGGTTTTTTTAGCTGAATCCCATTTTATTTTAACTGTGGGGAGTCATTTGGAGTATGAGCATGGTCTTGTTTTAAATGCTCCATGGGGTTTTGTTTGAATAACAAGAGTGCAAAGTAGGGGTAGATGTTCACTGAGGATTAATGGTCCAACCTTAAATTCAAGCACAGTGGGAAGTAGCAGAGCAGGTATTAAGATGTGATCTATCACACTTGCTCCGTGTGGTGAGATATAGATGAACTCCTTGTTGAAGTTCAAGTCAGCCAGGCCATTGAGCCAAACGAGGCCACTTAGAATACTGAAACTAGCAAGTACAGTAGTTGCCCTGCATGGCTGATTTGCTTGTCCTTAGAGAGTCTTGTCCAGAAACAATGGTCTGGCAAAGACTCTCCACCTGCTGGGTCATACATTGTCTTGAAGACCTCAGGCCCTGACCCCACTCTGGCATTAAAATCCCCAGCCACCAAGTTCCAGGCTTGGGGAAACCTAATTTAACCGTCTCCAGCACTTGAAATAGATAGCGCCACTGTTGTTCTCTATCAGCTTTCCTCTGGGAGGGGGGAATTGTACACATTTACTATAAGTAGCTCGTGAGTAGAGGTTTTAACCCTACTACTCAAAAGTTTGCAATAGCTGTCATACATAAATACTAGCTCAGAAGGAATGTGCAATGCAATCAACATTGCTAGCCTACCAGAAGGGCAGCCCTTAGTCTTGCATTTGGTGGCAGGAAGGGGAAAAGAGTTAAACTCTTCCAAGAAGACATCATGAATCGACTATGTTTCCTGGAGGAGAATGATCTCTTGCCCCAATAAAAGCTCTCTGGTCTCAGGATCATAAATTTTCCCAGCCCATCCTTCTGCATTCCAAGAAAGAAACCTTAAGGGGTGGAAATTGTTTTTGAAATGGGGCATATTCTGGATGTCAAACCAACTGAATGGTGGAATCAGGAGGTGGAACCACTACTTCACTGAGAGGGGTCATCCCTGTCACTGGGGTTGAGATCATGGCACCCTGTTCATTCAATGTGCAATGGAGTAATTCTGGTGGGGCAGGACCATCAATTGTGTTGTGTTATATGACCATTGGTGTTGTTTGGGTAGGAATAATTGGAGGGGGGAGGGAGCCAGTAGGTTGGGGAGGGTTGTCTAGTATTTGGATGGGCTGAGATCTGACACTTATCTATGTATGTTCTGCATAATCTTCCGTTGTTCTCCTGAGGATATACTCCTGAAAGTCTTGATGGCATCATGAGCGAGGACCTCATCAACTTTCCCAGTAGTAGTATTCTGATGCTGGATTCCCCTCCCTATGTCTTTCTGATAGCACATGAAAAAAATTAAATTCCACCAGCAATTCAGTTTTTTAAAGAATTGTAATACTTTTGCATCTTGCATTGTTGCTAGTTGTCAATTTGGCTTTAATTTTGTTTGAAACATCTTGATGTTTTATTATTGTTTTAATATGTTTTATACTGTCTGCTTCTCACACATTTGATTTAGAACATGAGTCCCCAACCCCTGGTCTGTGGCCTGGTGCCAGTCCGTGCCCCGGAGACAGATCTCCCACCCACCCCACATGCACTCCCCCACAGCTCCTTTCCACATGTGCACAAGTGCGTGTGAGCGCCTCTGAGCACCCCACCCGCGCAAACACCTCTGCCACTTTGTGCATGTGTGTGCATGCACCCACATGGGTGCCCTGCCCTTCACGCATGCTCGTGAGTGCCCCCATTCCTTTGCGCATGCAAGTGAGCTTGGGGGTGTGCCCCACCTTCCCTGTACATGGACCCCATCCTCCCCCAACCGGTCTGCAGTATCAAAAAGGTTGGGGACCACTGATTTAGGGAAAGCTGCTGTGGGTTGAATTTAAGAAGGGAAGCTTGGAGAATTCACTTTACACATGCACACAAAATAGAAGCAGTCAGAAAAGCATTGTTCAAGTGAATGTTCCCCTGAATCTGTCTCAGCAGTATCCCACAAATATGAGATTGCTCCTTGGAAAATATAAGGCTACCCTATTTGCCCTTATCTAATTATGTGATGGGATTTTTTTTCTCCTTGGAGCATGTAAATAGATAACAAAACATTTGGAAATCTGTTTGATGATTCTTCGTCATTATTTATGTGAAGATACCCTTGTCCAGCAGGCCGAGGCAAAGAGGAAGTCACAAAAGCAGCAAAACCAGGGAGCTGGACAGGGGACAGATTGGATTTGTCTTCAGTGTGGAAGGGATTATCACTCTCAAATTGGCCTCCACAGCCACACTAGACGCTGTTCCAGGTCCTCCATACAGAGCACGTTACCATAGTCTTTCGAGTCCGAAGGATGCCTAACTAACTAACTTTATTCGGCTCAGAAACAAAGAGATAGTGGTGAAATTGCTGCTACCCTAGTTGGAATGTAGAACTGCTACAAAAAGTTATATTCTTACTATAGTCTAGTTTTTGTTCTTAGTCATCCCTTACTATCTAGCGACTTCATGTTTTTATCTTTTATTATATGACTGTAGATTTTGATGTGAATTGAGAAATAACTTTTTTATGAGTTGTGTATGTTGTTGAATTTCTCCCCAAACACATCTTTAGGCTACCTATAATGCATGACACTTTGTACCAAACGCCAGGCATTGTCTGACCAGCTGATACAGTTCCGATGGATGAGAAAGGTGTATCAGGTGCTTGTTGTAAATAACCAAAATCAGTGTTGACCCACAATGAGCCTAAGTATTACACATGTTCTGAGAGATGTTCAGAGCTCTCTCAGCAGTCATCCGGCTTACTTAAAGTATAGATGAGAAATTGTAACAGCACCTCTGTTCCTGCTGAGCCTATCATCCTTTGTTGTCTTTGCTCACTTCTCTTTTGCTCCCTGTGTTTTATCTGCCATCAAATCACATTATCTCTAAATTAAAACAATTCTAGAAATGTCCTGCCTTGACCACTACATCTTTTTTCCCTTCTGGCCCTCCACTTGCCTCTCTGCTGTTATACTCTTCCTTAAAACCTCAATGTCTTCACCTCCATTCCCAAAGTGAGCCCAAATACATCTAATTGAAATGAATATATGTTCTTCTTTTTCATGGTCTCTGAATGCACACATGTGGGTATTGTCTGCGCCTGCGCTGACTCTCTTGGAAGATTCTAGAGCCAAAAGTAACAATTTTATGGTGTGATCCTCCATGAGGCATATGCTCCTCCCACCCACCATCTTCCTCAATTCCTTTTTTCCGCTTTCTGCCTTTTTGGCCATTTTTCTAGGCTCTTTTGAGCTTTTGTTTGTTTTCTTTACCTTAATTACACTACTTAGTGATCCTCCAAGCCTTTTGTTTGCTTAACCGACTGGCTGCGGTTCTTTATTCTTTCCCTCCCCTCCCCCGTCCTTTCTGTTTTCTTTTCGCTTATGGCCTCTCCGTCTCCTTTTAAAAGGTGTTCAACCTGTGCGAATAAAATCGCACTTTCGGACGCTCACAGCCAGTGCCTTTTTTGTTTGGGTGAACACTATCCTACCCATTCATGCCCTGCTTGTAAAAGCCTCACCAAGCCGGCACTAAAACAGAGGCTCCAAAGACTTCGGTCTTACCTTTGGCAAGCAGCCATGAATCCTGCTTCATCCTCAGAAGCGGCCAGATCACCAGCTCTTTCTGCTGATAGACTTCCAGCGGGGCAATCCACTTCTGATTCGCCTCCCGTGCTACCAGTTAAGGACACTGTTGACAAAGCAAAGGCACCTGGTAAGCACAAGTTGCCACCTTCTCAAAGTCTCGAGCGCGTGATGCTGGCTCGAAGAAGAAGCCCAAGCCCGCTCCTAAAAAGCCCAGAAAGGACAAACTCCCTAGAGTGGAACTCCCGCAGTCCTCTCTGCATTCCCCTATCCTAGAGGAATCGTCCAGAGAAGTCCCCGACTTGGTCTCGGATGGAGATGACGCCCATAATGCGGCACACACCCCCATGATGCCGCCCCATATTCCGAGCATTGGCCTCAGCGCACCTGCGCCACAGTCCAGCCCGGCCTCA